GTTTGTTATGTTTAACAAAACTTTCATAAAAGAATTTCGTTAAGTTTCTTATGATTCCTCGGCAGTACAAATAGAGATTTTAAAAGATTTTCAAAACATTAATTTTGAATGGATGTTAGTCATGCCAAAGTACCCGTCTTTGATGAATGGTTTAGGGGAAAAATGGAGTTTTCTAACAAAATCGTAGCACCTTGTGTGGGAGTTATCTTTTAAAATTTCGTCCCAAGTAAGGACTTGATTCTGAAAAGAGTCTGAATAGAGGTGAAAACAGAGTCTCTGAATACTGTGAGATAGCGTCTGTGGAAACACGGCTAGTTCTCTAGAGTGAGAAATGCAACTTTAATTGAAAAGCCTTTTGCGGAAGCAGTTGTGAACCCAAATGATTTCAAACATTTTGAACTTCTACTTGATTCAGAAGATTGATTAAGTACATGCAAAACATCTATAAGAGCATACTGGAAGGAAAACCTGTTTACTTTCATTTGATTACTGTAAGTTATTTACTTGCTTTTACATGCTTATACTTTGATTAATTTTGATGAACAATTCACAAGCATTCACATCCACTTCTAATGATGATAAAATCAGATTATATTTAGATGAGAAAGATATTTCGTTTTTACTTAAGTTAGCTTAAAAGTCTAGAGTCATGTTTTCTGTTGGCCAAGAAAAATTTGAAGAAATATATAGAGATGTAGATTATTATTGTGAGCATAATATAAGATTTGATTTTGTAAGAACTAGTAGAGAAATAAAAAAGGTAGAAGATATTATAACTAAACATAAAGATATAGAAGAAGAAGTTTCAGAAGGAATAATTCTAGGATATATAACAAAGAAAGATCAGCCTAGAATTTTTGAAGAATTATCAAGATACTGAGAATATTTAGAGGTATTTAAAAAATTATAAAATACTAACATAAGTCCTGATTAAAAGAAATATTAAAAGATACAGGATACATCTTGCAAATAATAAAAGTAAGGGTAAAATAGTATTTTCTATAATAAAGGCTATTGTGGAAAATGGAACCAATATACCGGCCATTGTGAAGACTACCCCAAACAACTTAAATGCTTGCAGCAAAATCAATAATGTGAATATGATTTTTCAAAATAGAACTATAAAACATGCGGCCAGCCTAGGCTCGAAGCCGTACACATAATTCAAGGGCCAGCCTTCGAAAGTCGATCTAATTATTTAACACATCTACACATGAATTCTTCTACACTTATATTCGTTAATAGAAGGGAATTTACAAAAATGTCAGACTACATGTTTGCCAATAATAAAATGTCTAATTTTGATAACTCTTGCAAAAATGGGCAAAATTGATATCAGATTGTCTTTTATACCTTTAATGAAAAACTAAGCAATTTTTCTTTATAATCTATCACAATCTTTAAAAAAATTGGACAACTGATCTCAACTCTTCACAAAGTTCCACGCCACATTTCACATATGATATATATTCTGTTTAGTCATGTATCCACTAGCAAAATAATTCAATAAAATGTTTAGCATAGAAAAACTTTCACAAACACATAGTAGCACCACATTAGATACAAACAAACAAAGTTCATGTTTTCATATCATCTCGGAATTACTTTGAAAAATTTACCGATTGAAACTCAACCAGATTAAACCGTAGCGAGCAATCAAAAATGTCTGTTAAATTATAGTGAGCAATGAAAGATACATTGCTTACGTGAATTGTCTCTCTTTCATGATTGAGCATCTAATGATTATAGGGCTCCCAAGCTGTAAAATTCGACCAT